GCATGATTCCTATAATGGTTATAGCAAGCCAGTAAAAATTGACCATTATACCCTCTAGAACAGGAGAAAGATGATGGGACATCCAATGCAGAAGGTGGTGTAAGATCCTTGTAACTAGGAGCTATGCTTTGAAATCTTGAACTAGTAGCAAGAAACATTAAACACTGGAACCAATCGTTAGCGGATGTTGGCGGGCAACTGGAGAAAGAGAGCGTGGCTAAACAACGAGAACCATAATTAGGAATCATAATTAGATAAATGATCCAGATTACTCCGGGGGAGCCACCCTACAGGTTGAGGCGCTGCCGGTACACAACATTGACCCAAGTATTTGCACCCCCAAAGGAGTAGGGGATGAGGTGACTTGGCGGAGAACACTGGCCACTTTGGTGATCAGCAGTTACCACAAGTTGACGGACGAGGTGAAAGGTGGGGAATATCCGGATCGGCACTGCGATTGCTAACAATCGCAGAATGCATAGTGAGGCACCCCACCCATAGAGCCAACCGAAGGGCAGATAATTCCTGGACAGACCCAGTCAAGAGGAAAACGGGCTTCTAGAAATAAAAGAACGAACCAACGAAAGCGCAACTACGAGAGAGTTCAACAGCTTGTCCAGAAAGACATGAAGCGTGTAACGGACCTGATCGTCAAGGATGAACTCTGCGACCTCGAACAGACCAGAACCCTCCCTACCTGAAAATAAGAGAATTGAGTGCACTCTTTGGAGTAGTAAGGAACAATCAACGTGCCCAGGTAATTGGAGTAGATAGAAAAGTAGATGTGCTGATGTGGTCCCGGCGATTGGGTTCGCCGATCCGTCATTAATCGTCAACTGGTGAACGTTGAATTTAGTTATCGACAGAAAAATTTCACAGCTAACAATGTGGCCATTCTAAAGGAAGTACAAGCGACTATATAGGACAAAAAAAGGCGGGGTATGTTCAAGACATACCCAGTTACATTAGCCGTAGCTAAAAAGGTTTCAAAACAGTGATCAAGGGTTGTGATGGGAATGTAGGTATAGAACTGCTACGAGGGAACAATCAGGGTTACCCGATGTCCCCATTCTTGTTCAATGCGGCCGTGGACCCGTTGCTGACGTTCCTCGATAATCGGGGGAAAAATTACCATTAGCGAAAAGAGGTTATGATGGGAATGTAGATATAACACATCAATCAGGATTACCCGATGTCCCTATTTTTGTTCAATGCGGCCGTGGACCCGTTGCTGACGTTCCTTGAGAATCGGGGGGAAACATTATCATAAGCGAAAAGAAGGTGTATCAGTACTGGCTTTTGCGGACGACCTGACCTTGGTCGATGAATCCGCTGAAGATCAGACCGTTGCGAAAGACTTGGGCGATAACAAACCCCGAACTTGAATATCAGAGGCGACGAAATCAAATATGTGAGTTCCAATATCTTGGGATCGACCTCACTCCTTGGAAAGCGACTGGGGTCGACTCTCTCCGTAGACTGGCTGACTATATACATTGGACAGCGAGCGTAAAACCCTCAAAGCATAAGAAGACACTAGAGTTGATCAAAAGATACATGTACCCGAAGTAGTTATGCGCTATCGCTAAATGCGCCATCAAAAACGGTGCTTATACAAGCGCATGACGAGATTCGTCAAGTCGTGCGTCGAATTCTTCATCTTACCAATCACATCTTCTACCCACGAACTAGGAACGAAGGCCTGGATTTACCGAGGTTACATAAGATAATACGGCTTGCTGTATTGAGGAGGTATGTCTCGATGACGAAGTTGTCAGAGGAATTGCTCAGAGTCCTGACCAGGTTAATTTTGCCGGCATGGTGGTAAGGAATCTGAAGGTCCAACAGGCCACTAGTATCAAGGAGTGCTAAGCCATAAAGGACCATCAACTCCAGTTAGAATTTACCAATTTGAAGATGACTTCCCAAGGTATAGGCATTTTATACAGGAGGGACAACATCTTTCTCACAAATATTTGAGTCGCCGTGACTTGCTCACGGCCAGTAGGCTGATTAATGTAACCTGTCAACGTACCAACAAGTTTGGTCTTATGAGAGACCACGAAAGGGTCTTTGTAGTCGACGTTGCAGTCTGCTACGAGGATGGGGTTTCCCTTAAAGCTATCGCGGAAAAAAGTTTACCAAGTATGAGGACGTGAAGCAAGCGACACTTGAGGAGATGAGTGGCCAGTTGAAGAAATACCCTTCGTCGTAGACACAAGAGGTAGAGTTCCAAATTTACGGTCAATGCACTCAGGATATTTGAGATTTATGGCAGGTCTCTAGTAACGACAATTCCGTTGACGGCCCTGCCCTCATCTATCAGCTCAGCGTACAACTTCTTGGGGACGATTCTCAACAGTCAAAAGGGCGAGTTAGCAACACCGATCACCACCCACGTCTAGCAGATATGGAAAGATCTAACACTGCTTTTTCATTGTCTCTAGTAGGGTATCTTTGACAGTACTTTTCATCGCATATATTTTCACTGAACGAACCAATAGGCTTCAAAAGGCTGGAAATATTCGTAGGCCGAACATCTGCAGGCATTAGTCTCCCTAGACGTGACGCCGTTCGAGCGGACGTTGTAGGATACACTTCAAGATCAGGCTAGGCGATTGCTACATTCCCGCGGATGACGCACTTGCCAAATGCCTTGTCATTTAATTAGTAACGCGCATGAATGGATTAACGAGATTCACACTGTCCCTACATACTTGTCATCTCCAACAGCATAACAATTCAATTCATGGAAACCCGACTCTTCAAATGTGGCAAATATGGGACAAAAAATTGACTGGCGCTCTCCTGAAACCACATTTCAGACGACATATGTTGAACAAACCATTCAAATGTGAATACAAAGAAATTCAATTATAAAGTCGATTTCAAGCAGCATATGTTTAAGCACTTTGGAGATAAGCCACCCATTTGTATCGAATGTGGCAAAGGATTCACCACAGGCGAGATCATATGAAGAAGCACTTTGAGACGCATTAAAAAAAAGATACTCAAATAAGATTTTTACATGAGTCGAAGTTATTTCACCTGTCTCATTGTTCTGTTCGTCATTAATAATGTGATAAAATTTCTCGAACTGAATCCATATGTATTTCCATTACATAATAGAAGATCGTTATGTGAGATGAGTTATGGTTCGCTGAATATTTAAATCATGAAAATTAGGTATATATAAAATCTAAAACTTAGCGACTTCAGAAGACGCTAATAAATATACAGTTCGAATCTTTTCGCAAGGAATCAATATAATTGGCATTCTTGACATCGGCGGATCCCAAGTGACCACTTTCTGTTGACTGTTCTGTTGACGAAATAGCTTTTATCTGTTCGGCAATATATTCTTCTCGTAAACTATTTCCTGACACTGCAAAGTAATGACCATACTTTCGTCGAATGATTTTGTTTTTCTGTCGAAACCACTCAATGTTATTCGCTTTTCTTCATTCATTAGTTGGTATTTCCACAACTTTTCTGGAATAATAAAATGTGAGTTGATAGAAATATGAATATTACAGATGCAGACATAAATAGAATGAAGATTCTTGTGGAAGTTCCAAAAAATCCCAATAAACCTTTGAGAAGTAGAGACAAATGATTATGGAACTCTAACCACTCTAGAAGGCAACAACTTGGGCTATGTTTGTGGATATCTTTTGAGAAAATGTGTAAGAAAACATTCATGTGAAGTATGTAGAAATTTTGCCACTGCAGCTAGTACGACACTGAATGAAACAAATATAGTCATTTCAAGGCATATAGTAATACAGTAGCCAAACAGTTTGGAAGTTTATATATGCCTCCAGATTCATTTTTACAATGTATCATTCATCTAGAGACAAAATTTCCTAATCATTTCAGCAATTTATGTGCCACTGATTGCATAGGCAACTAGCTCAAAACAATGTTTTCAAAAATCAACATTTCTCACCCTCGTGATAATTTTCCTTTGGATTATTTATTTCCTCTTTTCATAAGGGTAAGAGTTGATTATACTTTGAAATTTGTCAATAGAAATTTGAAAACAAATGTAAAAAAAATGAAAAACTCATCATTTTGAAAAACCTTAAAAATATATTAGCATACGTTTTTGACCTAAATTGCATAATCTTACTATATAAAATATACGTTTATTTCACCACCTTGTCTTATTTATTGGGTGCTCCTCGTAGCAATGAAGTCAGATCATGGTCACATATTTTTTGATCGAACCTCGTGCACAACAGCTCTTAGCCTGCACCCTTCTGCCCCGCTACATGCCAACAACAAATAAAATCTCGACCCGAAACATCAAAGAGGCCGACGGGAGTGAATTTACTTCTGTTTACTTATATACGGTGCTAGTAGGCTAACGTCAACGGCGCAATGAACCAGTCTGTCTCTCAACCTTCCATTGGCTGGAAGGTATTCTGGGCAGGTCCGCAACATATCATGGCAGTTGTGGCAAACTGGTATAGTCGAAGTAACTGATATAGTAATTCCTAAAGCTGACTTAAAGCTAAGTTTTCCAATTATATCTATTTAGTCCAGTCATTATAGTAAGTTCACCTCGGAATTCGAGATACCCAGCTGTAAGTCTGTAAATACTTGTATATTGACACCCTAAAAGTTGTCTGACACACTTCGAATTTGTTGTTCCTCTCGAAAACAAAACTATAAAAACTGGCTCAAGACCGTCGGTGTAATTTCTCACATTAATTTTAGGTTTTGTTTTATAATTTAGACTTTGATTTGAAAACAAAGTAATACATAGATAGCACTTAATTATTATCAATTGTTTTTTTCTGGACCCCGTTAAAATTTTCCCACAGTTTTCGTATCCCACCTAAAACTACTGTCCTATATTATGTGAGGAGCAAGGCGTCCGTTTCGCATCCTGCACTATGAATATTTTACGATGTGGTAGGAAAACTGATTGAAATGAAGATGCGAAGCCATTTTTATAATTTTTTGTAATAATTATAAAAAATAGATGATGTCCTGGAGACTACAAGATTGATTAATGCGGTTAAGCGATTCTTAATGAAAACAAACAGAAATCAAGCATATACGATATGACAATTTACGCGAAAAGTATTAGTCATAGTTATAAATACACATAAAATTAATAAAAACAGTCTTCTAGGGCATCAGTTAAAACGAGGAAAATCGTACAATTCGCCGATAATCAGCCAAAACAAAACATAGAACAACTTTCAAACAACAACAATATTCCAGAACAAAAGTAACAGGATACATGTAGAAAAAAAAGCTGATCGTCGACAAAATGCATTCATAAATTAAAATAAAAATTATTTTTATAAAAATTCTCAAATTCCTCAATAGAATAGAGATCTTGGAAGAAAAGCATCTCCAGCACCCCTATTTCTCATCTCATTCATAGGAAATCTGCCATAACGATTTTGAAAACTTCTCGGTACATCAATGTCTCTGTGAGGCAAACCTCTTCTAAATTGGGGTATTCCCCTGTTATAGGTCGTGGGATTGCACGCTTCCAAGTATTTGTCTTTTAGTCTTCCGTGGTCTTCTGATAGTCTTACTCTCAATGGTGACATAGCATTCTCCAAAACTTTTCCATCAAGATTGGCTATTGCTGCCTGAGCTTCTTTTCCCTTCGAATATCTTACAAATGCCACACCTCTGGGCATACCGGTAATTTTATCTTTCAAGATTCTTCTCTGTACAATTTCTCCATATTCTCCAAATAGAAAGTCCAAATCTCGTTCGGTCATATCTGCTGGTAAATATGTTATGTATAAATTTGAATCTTTCATGTCGGGTCTCGAATATGAAACTCTCAAACGTTTATTCCCGAAGTGGAATCCATTCAACACCGCAATTGCTTTGGCAGCTGCTGAAGGCCTGGAATATTTGACAAACCCATAACCAAAGCTGTATCCAGTTTTGAAGTCTTTCATTATCCTGATGTATTCCAGTTGTCCGAGTGGACCAAATATTTGAACAAGATCATTTTCCGTTGCAAATTGTGGTATGTAATTAACGATCAATTTAGTTTTGTCGTGGTCCTGGTTATTATCTCCAGCTCCATTTTTTGTAATAGCACGTACTTCAGATGAGTTGTTCATGCTACTATCCTCACGGAGGGAAGGTTTCACTGAAAATGGGGAGTTTCCTAGTTTTGAGCCAAACATCTTGATATCTTTCTGAAATTAATTAAAATAAGGTATAACAAAAATTGAGTTATGTCTGGAAGGTACAAAAACTGTTAGAAGAACTAAAAAGTAATAAAGTTTGTTCCCGTTCATTTGTTTTTACGGATGACACCACGATCCTTTGGCGTGGGACAAATGAAGATAATCTCAGAGACATCATAACTCTAGACCTCTATAGGGTTGAACAGTGGTGCGATTTAAACTTCTTATACAGTGCNTGACTTTAGAGGATTGTCATATAAGTGGCTTCACAGTTATGTAACAGGAATGAAGCAGTTAGTGAAACTCCAAGGAAATACATCGCATATTGAGAATACTTCATCAGGTGTACCACAAGGTTTGGTTCCGGGTCCTATCCTTCTTCTGCTTTATCTGAATGATCTGGTAACCATTGACATTGAAGTTAACACTTTTTGCGGATGTCACCACGATCCTTTGACGTGGGACAGATAAAGATAATCTCAGAGATATCCTAACTCTGGATCTCTATAGGGTTAAACAGTGGTGCGATTCAAACTCTTTATGCTTCAACACGAATAAAACAAACATAGTTTGTTTCAAAGTCAATTTTGACGACTTATTTATAGAAAATCACGCTATAGATGAAAAAAACTCACACAAAATATTCAGGGGTGTTTATTACCTACTCAAAATTTGATGAGCATATAACAAACTTATGCAAAAAAAAAATCATCTGGCTGCTATAAAGTTGGAGTTGTTTCTAACGAACTCAATCAATGCTCAGCCAGAACTGTGTATTTTTCCTTGATAGAGTCGCACTTGAGATATGGAATTACCTATTATCAAAGAACAATTTGTTCAGGCCAGTCTCAACTCCCTACACAGTAGATGGACTGACACCTCTCAGAAAACAACTACTCCCCTGGCTAATACCATGAAGGGCGTTGGATTATATCCGACAGGTGTCAGTGCAGGATTCTTCAGGGTGCAGGATTCAGTGCAGGATTCAACAGCATATGCAGAAGTTATTCCTGCATATGCTGTTGGCGATACAACTGCATTTGTATGTATACAACTGCAGTTGTATCGCAAACAGCATATGCAGGAATAACTTCTGAGAAGAATCCTGCACTGACACATGTCGGACATAATCCAACGCCCTTCGTGGTATTAGCCAGGGGAGTAGTTGTTTTCTGATAGGTGTCAGTCCATTAACCTACTGTGTAGGGTGTTGAGGCTGGTTCTTCCTTATGATTTCAATTGTAGGAATCTCATTGCTTTTGTAACAATTGTGTATTGTTTTTTTAATGATTTCATTGGATATACATCTAAAGGTTTTGGTAATCCCGCATCAAATCGCGTCTTGCGTTCATAAGGTTTGTTTTTGAATATTTTACGTACAGTCAAGAAAGGAATTTCTGTCAAATCTGATGTTATTTGTGATAGCTTTTTTCCCTCGAAACCAAGCTTGATATGTAGATTCTTATATACATTGAAACATACTTTCTGTTTCAGTATTCAAATGCATCCGAATCTTATTCACTGGTATCTCTTTTTCGCATTGTTCACCATCGCTATTGGAATCACTGCACAGGAAAAAGTCTACGTTGTTATCACAGTCGTTATTACTATTAGTACATGTCCAAGGACGCCAAATTTCAAACAATTAACACAAATTTCAAGTAATTATAACTTCACCAATATCGAATTTCAACACTCAAATCGCGATCAGTTCCTGAGCTGAACATTGACGACACAACGGAGGTACTCATTGCTACATTCTATTGATCACCGTAACATGACTTCAAATTTAATTTTATGATTCTTCAGCCAATCATAAAACTCAGTTAGTAGAAATTATTCAATACGAACCGCCAGTTCTTCAGTCCACGTGGACTAATTCGTAGCGGCGTTATGTCTTTGTATTTGTTTTTTGGCCTTTGAGTTCGCCGATAGCTTTAAGAATTTCAGTGTCGTTACTTTTCGAGTTTGAAAGCCGTGGGTTTTTGGAATTTCTTCCTGACGTTTCGCTGGCGCGAGTGGCTAGCTTCTTCAGAGGTTTAACCATCATGGTTTGCTGTCCGATGACTACCCTTTTAGGCTTCGTAAAGCGTATTTATGCCTTGTCAGGTAATCAGTTGTATTTGTACTTGAATGTGTACCTGTATTCGTACCTGAACTTGAACCTGGAACATTAACAATCTTGCTGCCTGTTGTCCTGATCGTTATTCTCGAATTCTTTAAAATGGGGTTCCATATTTGATTGAGGTTCGCCGCTTCTTCTCTTCTGTTAAAATTATCCGTGTGTTTGTGGATCTCTATTGCCTCCCGTACCAGTCGGCTATGATATCCCTGGTTGGGGGCAATCAATTCTGTGTTTTCAAACAAGATTCTGTGGTCTCCTTCACTCAGTGCGTGTTCTGCCACAGCTGACTTGTCTGTTTGGCCTAGTCTGCACTAGCTTTTATGCTCTTTCAGTCTTGTTCCCATGGATCGTTTGGTAGTTCCGATATATACTTTCTCACAACTGCACGGAATGCGATAGACCCCTGTTGCTGATAATGGGTCTCTTTTGTCTTTAGCCGACCTGAGGCTTTGTTGTATCTTCCTCGTGGATTTGAAGACTGTTTCGATGTCGTGTTTGCCCAATATAATCCAGTCATTTAAGCTTAAATTAGGTAAGAATCTCGGAATTCGAGATACCCAGCTATAAGTCTGTAAATACTTGTATATTGTCACCCTAAAAGTTGTCTCAAAACCTACATATGGTAGGGTGTAAGCAACTATTAAATTTCAAGGTCAAAGGTCACAAAAATCGGTTTTCTGCGCTTTTTTTGGAAATATCTCATACAATTAAAAAAGTATATTTCAATAATTTACTGCAAGATGCCTTACTAACTTTATGGTGGTCAAGAATACACAGGGTGTACAGCCATCCTGTGGAATCGAAAATTCCAAAAGAATCATTGCCATTGTCGAACCCGACAAGAAACTCATGCTATAACGAAGGACAGAATTTTCGAAACAGGGAAAGTTTCGAAAACGACGTCGAAAGAGAATTTGGGAACGACGTAGTGCAGGTCGTCCGACGCCAGGCGTCGAGATGCCTCCAGGGGGAAACCCTTAGCGGTCCCTGGGAGGTGGCGGACACGCTGCACACAGGCGCGCCTCGTGTCCCGATCCAGCTCGGAACTGGCGCCCTAACAGAAGAGCTAGGGGGTGGTGGTAGGCCAGGGGGTCACCCTGAAGCAGAGAGAGAGGCTTGGGGGTGACTTCATGGCGGGGCCAGTCCTCCAACCAATCCCGAATCAAAGGTTTGCCGAGACACGTAATCCTAACGTCGTACCCAGGCTGGGAATGGGCGTCGAAGTCCCTGAGGGCCAGGTCTGGGAGGTCAGGAGGCCATTACGGCGAATGGCGTGGGGAAATGGCGGACACGATGCGTAGTGGCACGCCTCCCTCCAAACCCGCGGTCCTTTAGGACACTTTCTACTAGTAAAACCGAAAACTAAATGAGAATATTCTAACTGAACAATGATGTTCATTGTCATACTGACATTTTCTGTAGTTTTTATAAACAAAAAATAACTCAACAAACCTTATCGGGTTGTTGAAATTGCCCTAATAAAAAGGAGTATTTCTAGAAATATCGATATTAATGTGTTTGTCTTCAGGAAATTATTAAATGTTCCGCCATTTTGTAGTAGGTGAAGATATTAACATTATATTCTAGGGTTGTGAAGTATTCCTCAGGAGCTTCAAAATGATTTGTCACAAGACCCCCACTTCCATTAAATTTTTTTCCCAGATGGCGCCCAGTCGCCATCTTGAAAGTTTCATCTGTCAATTTCACTTTAAAATAAAGCATTCATGCATTAATTTCATTATCCCAAATTTCAATTCTTTGAGTTGACCCGTTCAAAAAATAAAAGGGGGGGGGGCATTAAAGAAACGCACTGTATTTAACGGATAGCTCGATCATATCTGGAAAAAGACTGGTCGACATTTGTTATAACTATTATTTGTCGTCACAAAACCTTCAACACATTATTATTATGACAATAAGAATGAATCGTGAACTATTTTTTGAAGAATACATTTTTTATTCGTTCTCGTAAAGTTTATTTCGTGAAGTTATCCACACTTTTTGACGTGTAGACATCGAAATCCGGATAGAGGATAATATCCGTGCAATGAATTCTACTATAAACTAGTATGCTTTTTCATACACCTGATTGTAACATCTGGAAATGTTTGTATAGATTTCGATGGTGTCCTAAAGGAGAAAAAAGTAATACTTAATTTATCAATGTATTTAATTTCAGGAAAAATAATGTTTGGCATTTTTTGCTGAAACTTTGGTAAACGATGGAACATCCTTGATATTTTTTACAAAAATGTTGCAGATGGTTAATTATATATGGAGTCAACAGATCTGCATTATCCGAGCTAATCGAGCGATCATATACATATTAAAGGAACATACATTTTGTAACATAATAAAAGAACAAAAAATTGTAGCGTCTTTCCGCATCCGCACTGTGAACATTTTAGGATGTGGTAGATAGACTCGTTGAAATGAAGGAGCAAAGACCATGTTTTTTTGTAGTGATTATAAAAAAGAATGCTGTACTGGGCACTACTATATTAATGAATGCAGTAAAGCGATTCCTTATGAAAATAAACGGAAAATTAAGCAGGAAACATGCCAAAATATTAATGGAAATGTACTCACCAGGGTTTACACTAACTGAAGCATCTCAGAAAACAACGTCACAAGTATGAATGTATTACATCACGTGGAATATAGAAACATTCACCAAAATTTTTTATAAAGCCATTCACATCATCAACTGAGCCACTAAAATTCATAAAACTTAATAAAATGCGTAGTAGACAATCATGGATCGTCTCTCCTTAAAAGAAGACGACACTCATTTACCGGCAAACAGCGGATTGGTCGAAGCGAAGTACGGAAAGTAGAGACATCTGGCAGTGAGTGGTTAGATGGTGGCTTGTTCAAA